TCATATATTATTCGTGATTGTCGATTGGCAGACTAATAGGCCAATTTCAAGAAGAGCATATAGATCCACTAGACAAAGCATAATGGAATATACTCCCATTTTTCTTCGTTGATTCTGATGCCCCAAAAGATCTAATTAATTGACTATAAATTTTGGTATTTTAAATCTTATAATTAGGTGTTGAATATTCGAGTTTGTGTCTTACATGTTCAATGAAAAAAAATAAAATTATATATATATATATATATATATTTTATATCCAATGAAAGTGATGACATGACTAATATTAGGATAGTGGAAGCACACGAAATGGAATTAATAAAGTTGGGAGTTGTAACCAAATCTTACGTTTCAATTTTATTAGAAAAGAAAGTGGTGGAATATAAAATGGGTCAATTAGGTGAAGTTTCTCATGTATGGACTTTTATGCTTTAGGAAATATGCTTTCTAGGTTTGGTTAGTGGTGGGCTAGCTTGTTTTTTAGGTTTGGTACTGACTTACCAAACCCTATGCATAGCGGTGGTAAACGAGCTGAGCCGGCTCAAAAAAAACTCGAATTTGGACACATGCTCGAGCTCGAGCTTTCTGACGAGCCGAACTCGAACCAGTTTTTAGTTGTTCGTTAGCTCACGAGCTGGCTCGCAAACCTTATTTATTATTATTATTTTTTTAAATAATGTATAATAATATAAATATTACATAAATAAATAAAAATATTAAAAATATATATATAATTACAATTTATTGTTTATTTTGTAATTCTTTTAATATAATAATAATAATAATAATAATAATAATAATAATAATAATAATAATAATAATAATAATAATAATAATAATAATAATAATAATAATAATAATAATAATTAAAAAAAGGGAAAAAAATAACAAAATGAGCTCGGGCTCGATCTCAAACTCGACAAAATGGACACGAGCTCGAACTCGAGTCAAAAAAGAAGGAACTCGACGAGTCCAAGCTCGAGTCTGCCAAAAGAGACGAGCTCATAAACTCAATAAATTAATAATCTCCGTTGAATAATAATTTCTTCCGATCTTGACTGGGCAAGAACTTGTTAAATTATTAATGCGATAATTTAAATATTCAGCTAAATTAATAAAATTTTCTCTAGTCACTGCATTAATAAATGCATTAATGGGGTTCACAAAATTGATTGTTAGGGTACCTTCAATTTATTTATTTTTGATAAATTTAATTGTAAGGGGGAAGTATTTTCAATGATAATAGAAATCATAAATTGATCACTTAAGAGAAAAAGTAATTATTTTTCAAGCTTGTTATGTCATTGTGATTGCATTTATTTTCCAAAAAGAGTAGACGTTTGAGTTTGTGTAATAATTAGACTTTATGACATTCAATACTAATTAACAATATTTATTTACTCAAAAAAAAAAATTAACAATATTTATTCTTTCTTCTCTAACCCATTCAAATATATAATATAATTTCATTGATTTTCCTTTTCTTTTGATGAAATTGATTTTCCTTTTCATATATAATTTTAAATAATTTTTCCACTTATCAAACATAAAAAAATAAAAAAAATTCTACATGTTATCTATATAATTAAGGGTAAATTACAAACACCCCCTGAGGTATGACCAAATTACAAAAACACCCCTCTTGTTTGGATAATTACAACCACACCCTTCAACTCATCAAATTTAGTGGAATCTTCGAGATTATATGGAATATTATCACTTTTGTACCCGTTTTATCCTATTCAAACTCTACATTATGAAGCAAGATGACCATAATATGTGATTTTTAGCTTGTATATATCAGTTTGTGATGCATCGGAAACTGTATTTTTTACACAAAGAGTACAAACTAGAGCACATTTCACATAATCTAGATGACTATGTTGAATTTGGCACCATAAAGGTAAGAAAAAATCATAGTTGAGGGGGGTAGATGTAATTATCCAAACAAGATGGGGTTTTTTGTAATTTGACCATACCTCAGGGTCTCAGGGGGGTGTTTGTAATTTACCCTATAATTAATGCATTATGATTTTTAACTTTTTGTACTTGAAAGAAAAAAGTAACAAATGGGCCATTTGTTAGGAGAACTTGCCACGTGTAGGGCTGAGAAGCTGGAACGCTACAGTTTTCTTATACTGTCTTGTCCGGGATATAAGATCCAACGGTCAGGATACGTCTGTGATTCTCAACGGTGACCCGGCCTGTGAAGATAGAATAACTCAGGTGTTATGGCCACGACACTAATAATACATTTCTTTAATAAATCATAATTAATAATAATAAAATAATAATTAATTAGACTTTTTCCGTAACGAAATATGAAAAATATCTTGTTGTCCGCTTGCCACACTCTTTGCCAGATTACAGCAATTATTTCACACAATACACACACACACATATATACATATACATATATATACACACAATATACATACAGACGCAGGTCAAAGTTCACACAATCACACCCCATTTCTGGAGCTCATTCACACTCTGTGACTGTGTGTGTGTGTGTGAGAGAGAATCTGCATGACATTTTCCTGAAGATTAGTAGCTTCGTCTCCAATCTCAATTTCTCTCTCTGCAGAAGGGAAAGGTGATTAATTCGTTCCACCTCTTTTTTTTTTTTTTTTTTTTTTTAATTAATTGTTTAATTTCGTCGTAATTGTGGTTTTGAAAACCCTGTATCCGTTATGTATGTAAACTGGGCTGGGTTTTGTTACTCGGATCTGTTTTCGGGTTTGGGGTTTTTGGGTTTTCGGATCCTGATTGTTGTTTCATCTTAATTGTTTGGGTGATTGATTACTGGTTAAGTGAAATCTGACAATATTGCGACCGATGCTTAAATCTCTGTGTTTTCATCAAAGTCAAAGTTCTGATTTTTGGGGATTTTCGATCAGAAAATGTATGTATATTTACATGAACATATGTTGCAGAAACTGAAGAGTTCTAATTTTGAAAATTAATCAATGATAATTCTGGAAATTCATAAACAATTTTTGTTTCTAAGGCGTTTAATTTTCGGAACACGATTAGCTAGAAAAATCGGTCCCCTGAACCCCCGACCTGTATCAGAAACGAAAACTGAATAATATACAGAATCGAAATTACATTTAATTGCGTATATCTGTTGTGTGATCGTGTGTGCACGAGTCCGTATCTGAGTTGACTTTTGGGTTTTTCGGTATCTGAATTAAGATCTCCTTGTATTAGTCGTATTGCAACACGACATCTATTTCTCCGACACTAATGATTAAATACAAGATTGCATCTGTTGCTGTTCCCACAGCTACATGTATTTCAAATAAATGTTAATACCGTGTTTCGGAATAGTCTCGTATGTTGATTCATAGTTTTGTACTGAAACGGGCTTATCCGATTATTTAGTGATAGATTGGCTGAGTTGCTCGCTCGATAACATTAGCGCAGAGGAACTATGATGTTTTTCAGAAAGAGTACTACTTCACCACACGACGGTGAGAGTCTTGAGCTGCAGCAAGAACGCAAGGTAATAATAATAAAAATATATTGTCGAAACTAAATAATTTCACATGTAATTTGACTATTGATTGATCCTAAAATAAGATGTTTTATCCTACACCGCCATTCTTCATGTGCTAAAATATAATCTACAAAGTTTCCTGCATATTCTCTGATGATCTGACGATTCTTTTTCTCTTTTGGCAGTTCAACGAGCTTAAAGCTTCTCTCGGACCATTGTCGGGCCGAAATCTGCAGTTCTGCACTGACGCATGTCTGAAGAGATATTTGGAAGCTCGAAGTTGGAATGTCGATAAATCCAAGAAAATGTTGGAAGAGACATTGAGATGGAGAACGAGCTTTAAACCCGAAGAAATACGTTGGGTAATAAGAGAGACAAAGTCTTTTTATTATTCCGATTTTTTTTTTCTGGTCAACTTAAATTAACTATAAATGTATTATACAATGGTTGCTAGCATGAGATTGCGGATGAAGGTGAAACCGGGAAAGTATTCAGAGCAAATTTTCGTGACCGTCAAGGTCGTTCTGTTCTTATACTAAGACCAGGAATGCAGGTACCCTATTCGATTATTTATTTAAATTAATTTGGTTTCTTGTAAGTCGAAAGGGGTGTGACAATTTCAAATGTTTGTATACATTTTTCAGAACACGACATCTTTGGATAATAATATTAAACATCTGGTGTATCTGATTGAGAATGCTATACTTAATCTTCAAGACGGGCAAGAACAAATGGCGTGGCTAATCGACTTCACAGGATTGTCTTTAAGCACTAACGTCTCGATCAAATCTGCAAAAGATACCGTGAATATTCTGCAAAACCATTACCCCGAGAGACTAGGCATTGCGTTTCTTTACAGCCCTCCGCGCATTTTCGAAGCATTTTGGAAGGTTCGGTTTTTCATTTAATCCTTGATATCACATTTTTTCTTCAATATATACCGAAACGAAACGAAAAAAAAAATTCAAGACTTCTTAGTACTACCGTGTCTGAAAAATTTCAGGTAGTGAAATACTTTCTGGACCCGAAAACATTCCAGAAGGTGAAATTTGTGTACCCGAAGAACAAGGAGAGTGTGGAATTGATGAGGTCGTATTTCGATGTAGACAATCTGCCAACTGAGTTTGGAGGGAAAGCGACGCTCGAGTATGACCACGTGGAGTTCTCTAGGCAAATGGCTCTAGACGATGTCAAATCTGCTAAGTTATGGGGCTTCGATAAGAAACAATCCAACGGGTTTGGAGGAGCAGAGGTTGCTCCGGAGCCAGAGTGCCTTGCTCCATCTGCCAGTTAATAATAACTCCGTCTCTAACGGTGAGTTAAACGCTATTATGGACTCAAAAATTGTACTTAGGTTAATTATCTTGAAATTAAACTCCAAATTAACGGAATTGTGCCCACGCCATGGGGCGGTGCTCTGATTTCTAAAAATGCTGAATTTTCGAAATTTATTTATTTTCGTGTTTTTTTTTTTATGTTATGTATGTCATGTTGGTTTTGAACAAGAAAAGGGTGAGTAGATCACTTTAGTTTATGAACTATGAAGCATGCATGTGAATATAAGAGCATGCCTAAGGGCATCTCCTATGTTTTCGGGGCCTTTTCGATCGAATGTGTCGAAACACCTCTCCATATTTCAATGACTTTTAACCCATTATTTTTCCATACAGAAATATTTATTAATTTCTCATTCATCAATGAAAAACCTCCTGGAATCTGTCTTTGTTGCAAATGCCATGACAGCATAATCCACATTGTTCGTAAATTTATAAAAATTCGTATTATTTTATATAAATTAAAAAAAAAAAAATTGTGTATGGCTAGCATTACAGCCCCCTCAGAATTATAATCAAGTCGGCAGACTTAAAATCCTGGCTCCAAGAAAAAAAAAAACTTTATTTGAAGTTGCAAATTCACTATTTCCTGTTTCATTTTGTTTTTGTTATTCAAATTGTTTAATATTGATTGAAGGAGGAGCTGTCAATTTTATTGAAACCAAGTGAGACGAAAAGGAATATATGGCCAGTTGTTAAGATCTTCTTTTTTTTTTTTCTTTTTTTTTCCTCTTCTTTTTTGGTAAATTACGCCACCCTGCTATAAAGTCAAGTTACGAAAAAACTCTCATGTTTGAGTAGTTCCAACCATCCTCAATTATGAATCTTCTTACACGTATGCCTTTGTGGTGTCAAATTCAACATAATTTTCTAGATTGCGTGGAATGTTCTTTAGTTTGTACTCATTTTGTGAAAAAATGCAATTTCTTATGCACCACAATCTGATATTTACAAGCCAATTGACATATTTTATGATCATTTTGTTTCAAAATGTGGAGCTCAAATGGATAAAAAAGGTACAAACTGTAAAATATTCCACTAAATTTGACACTGCAAGAGTGGGTGGATGTGTAAGAAGATTCATAGTTGAGGAGTATTGTTATAATTACGTAAACATTGATTTTTTTTCCGTAATTTAACCTTACTATTTTCCCTTTATTTTATCTATCTTTCTCCCTTTTTCTTTCTTATATTCCATTCAAAGTTCAAACCATGGTACGATAAAAGTTGCTGAATAATAAACTTTGCTGTCACCAAAAACTATGAATCCTAAATTTTCCTAAAAATTGATTTTAATTTATTTTGAATAAAAAAAGCCAATATAATAAATATATATGATATAACATTTGTTTAGTAATAAAAGTAAACAAAAGATTCAATTTTAGTACACTATAATAATATTGGCTGTTATTTTCGGAAAATATAGAGATGCTGGTTGGATTTAAAGGTGACTTATTCCTCAATATTCTTATCAAGATTGAATCCATGAAATCCCCTTTCCCACAAGATTCCATTCAACCATAAGCTTTTGTAACTGGATCCCCCCTTTCAACTTGCAATTCCTCTATTTTAATTAATAAAAACATGAGATCATCACTCACACACACCCACACCCACATGGGTGTGTGTTTTAGCCTTTTAGGAAAAAAAATATCTGAAATGTTCTCAGCAGAAATGATCTAATCAGTGGAGTAAAAGAGGAACGCAATATCGAACATAACCATGCAGATTAGCAGATAATGCATTAAAATTTATTTAAGGGGGTGCGATATATGGTTTCTTGAGATATGTTGGGGGGGCCATGCCCCCCTTCGGTCTATGCTGAGTCCGCCACTAACCGGATAAGGATTATGATATAATAATGCTTATAAAAGCAGCTATTATAAAGCAAAGGAAATAACATTGAGGCATATATTGTACTTTCTTGGTACGGATAATTTGTATCCTTGTTATAAAAAAAGAAAAAAAAAACATTTGACAAGTTGCACATTATTTGCTGGATTTTTCGCCAATTTATATGTGAATAAATACTAAATAGCCTTCTATTTTAATAGAAAAATCCAAATTGTCCTTTACAAAACTATTAAATGAGCTTCTTGTATCTAAATGAATAAGCTTCCACAGTTCTATAGATGCTACACCCAGTTAAATACATCAGGTGGTCCTGCACCATTAGATATACATATAATAACGCACAAACTTCTGTGTACGTGCATGCGTTCGAATTCCATTTTTGCCCTTTTACTAGTTTAATACAATTTTCTAAATTTTGGTTATTTTTTAAACCGAATAAAAAGCTACATTTTTTAATTCTACAATCTCCAAAAAAAACTGGCCACAAGAAAATAGCCAAAAGCCACCCCCAACCCCACCCCCCCTATCCAATGCCAATGCTATAAATAAGAGCAATTATCCATACCCACATTTCATTGCACACAAAATTCCTACACATAAGACACATACGTATATATCAGTTTCATCTATAGAGATTTTATATATATAGATAATTATATTAAATATCAATATCATAGATAAAATAAAAATGAGCTCGAACACGAATTCTGAGTGGACAGAAAAGCAGAACAAGCATTTTGAGGATGCGTTGGCAACCTACAATAAGGACTCGCCGGAGTGGTGGCAGAATCTGGCCAGGGCGGTTGGAGGGAAAACCGTGGAGGAGGTCAAGCGGCACTACCGCAGCCTCCTCCGTGATATCGACCAAATCGAAAACGGCAAGGTTCCTGTGCCTAACTACAGAGACACCACCAATGGTCTCTCTCTCTCTCTCTCTCTCTTGAAATTCCAAAGTAATAAGTATAAGTAGTCGGATTTTTTTCCGTTTTAATTGATTTTTTAATTTGCTCTTGACAGGCAGACGTATGTGAGGTAATACCCCTGTGTGCAATTCACTCAATGTAGCATTGACAAGACTGTAAAGCTCCAATGAAGCAAAAAAGCCGACGCATAGCTCAAACGGGTTCCGTTTTGCTTTGGCTCTTTCTAAAGGAATATTCATAAAACAAGAAATAAAATTGTAGAAAAGGGCACTACCGGTTCGTGTGTGTCGTGAACCAAACTAGAATTCTGGATATCAAATTTCATCATGCCGCAATATTGTTGTACATTCTTAATATTCAACGACGTAATCCCACATCGTCTTTTTTCATTTGTCTTAAAATAAGCATACACGACTAGAAAAAAAAATCTCAGATAATTAACAAGAAAACGAATCTCAGATAATTAACAAGAATACGAAGGTTTGAATCTACAAAACCTCATTCATTAATCTTCTAGTGAGTGCTTTCGGAAGTCCCATCACGCTATCAGTTCCGCCTACCTGTCAAATCAAAAATTAAAAAAGTTAAAAAAAATGCCTTTTTATTTCAAAATATATAAATACAAAGCATAGATACCGACCACTTGTTTGACATAAGGCAAAACGAGAGGATGTTCGATTATAAGCCCTCCTGCTACATTAAGTACAATCCCTTCTTCTATCTGTAAACGGAAAATAAATCACTTTTACAAATTGTTAATGCATGTCGATAATACAAAGCAATAAATTACTAATTTATACCAGGCTTTCTATTATCTCTTCCGGTATATCATGGAAATGGATCTGCAAAAAGTCGAAAAAGAATTTCACATAAAAACCAGTCGAAATTCTACATACAAAAAAAAAAAAAAGAAAAAAAACGATAGAAGCATTTTTTCCGACTATTCTAAATATTAATAGTACCTCAACTTTGTCCCATTCTCCTTTTTTCAGACCGGTTTTAAGGTTTGTAACAAGAACAGAACTCACGGTTGCGGCATGTCCACCGGAATAATCTGGAAAATAAATATCTAAGCTCATCAGAGAGAGAGAGAGAGAGATACACAAGGATAGATACAGAAACACGATTCAACCTTTTAGGAATTGACGAGCCTCTTCTTTGTTGGAAGGCTTTTCTCTTATCACGCCTTCGTACACCACCACCTCCAGATCATTTCGATTTAGAGTGAGACAAAATAATATATGTGCACTTGTAGAATTTAAAAAAGAAAAAAAAAACCCGCAAAATTATCAAAAATGAAAACAAGTATTCACCATTTGCCGATAGTTCATACCAAAGAAAGATTTATTACAGTAAGAAAATGAATGACATGATGCAAGTTTTCGACGATTATAATTTTTTTCTATCCAAGATAGATTGTGGGATTAATCTTAGGTTGTATTTGGATCAAACACTATGGAGCTAAGAGTGTCGAATCGACATAAAAAAATCCTTTGAGCTTTGTTTGGACGAATTCATTTAACAGTAAATTTCAAATCTTTAGCTCTTATTTGAACTAGCTTTTGAGTTATTATGACGGATTCTAAATAACTCCCAGAAACCTTAAAAACAAAGTTTACATTAAAACGAAGAAAAATGCAAGTAATTAAATCACGGGTTTATACTTGGTCACAAGTAATTAGCAGGGTAGGTTCTGCATCCTCGGAGCCATGAAGCTTTGGTTCGACATTTTCTACCTAAGGAAAAATTATAGTCAACATAAGCACACGGGCTAATACGAAACTATTTGAAGCAGCAACACAAGAAAAATGCATCAAAAGCTATTGACTATTGCAGAGTCGAAGAAAACGGAAGCTATTTTACATTCACTGCAAGTAAATTACTTGGAGAAGTTCATGCAAAACGATATTGACTTTAATTAGGGAGTTCTTGATACAGAAGCAATTTATGGTAATTCGTTGGTGACAATTGCATGCCTCGATTACGTTATTAGAGCACGTGAATTTAACAGGGAAGTGAAAAGAACATACAGTGTCGGCTGCTATTACGAGTGTAGATTTGCCATCCGTTTCTTGGTTCTTTATGTTCTGGAGTTTTCCTACTATGGCATCTGCCTGAGGCACAAATCAATACACAAAATGTAATTAACAAGCAAATGCATAACACACTAAAAGATTGAAAATTTTGCGAAATAAAAATAACAATTCCACTACTGTAAACAGATGAATGACAAAATCCCCACAACTTGAACTTGACAACCCGATTTCGGTGAATATAGTTTAGGGTAAATTAAGGCCACCCCAAGATAAGGTTAAATTACGAAAAAAACCCCTCTGGTTTGGGTAATTACAACCACCCCTCCACTATGCCTCTTCTTACATGTCCATCCTTATAGGGTCAAATTCAACAAAATTCTAGATTTCCGTGAAATATTCTCTAATATATACTCGTTTGTGCAAAAATGAAAGTTTCTAATGCACTACAAACTGATATTTACAAGCCGCCAAACAAACACATTTTATAATCAATCTTGTTTCAAAATGTGGAGCTCGAATAGGATAAAACGGGTACAAAGTGGATAAATATTCTACATAATCTAGAAGATTCCACTAAATTTGACATCAGAAGGTTGGACGTGTAAGAAGATTCATAGTTAAGGGGTGGTTGTAATTACCCAAATATGAGGGATTTTTTCGTATTTTGACTTTACCTCAAAGGTGGCCGTAATTTACCCCATGTTCTTTACCCTGTGTTCTGATACTTGATTGAGAAAGAAGAAATGGTGAAATAATGTGATGTACCTTTGCCTCGGCAAGAGCCATAACCAAATCTTCAGGCTTCTCTTTCCTGATTGCCTTCTCATCAATATCTGCATACTTTTTACCAAAAAAATAATAAATAAAAATAAAAGTCCAATTAACAAACACCATTGGCATTGCCCATAAATTAAATTGTACCATGGTCGTGAATTGAAAACCCATGTGAGATAAGATTTGTTTCCGGGCAATAGAAGACGATCCCAGGATTATCTGTTAATGAAGAATTCGGAATGTGTTAGGAACTTGAAGTTAATTAACTGGGTGCAAAAAAAAATAAAAAAAATAATTACCTTAAATTGTTGATGATGAGAAGTGGAATCCATTTTTGAAGCACTTTGTTTTCTTCAGGAGTAGAGAGAGAGAGAGAGAGAGAGAGTGGGGGGGCAAATGGGGATAATTTTGTCACAGGCAAAATTCAAAAGGTCGTCCACAAATTGACTGTCGTCTTCTTAATTCGCATTGTACAGTGTACCAATACCACTAATTGGGCCTTTAGTTTTAATCTTTTCGGCCCGGAAATGATTATTAATTAGTGTTTTCTTTTTTTTTTTTTTTTTTTTTTATAATGCAGGAACCCGCAGCCAACCATATAGGTGCACTGGGTAAACCTACACTCTCGTATAATAGCTTGCAAAGCTTACGAGAGATTTAAACCACACTAGGCTAACCATGTGTGACAAGCTCGACCTAGCGACCGTTGTCAAGGGGATTCGAACTTGGGTCAATTGACCCAAGCTCCCTTGCTTCCAACCGCTAGGCCACCCTTGCGGGTTAGTAATTAGTGTTTTCGCTTATATTGAATTATATATTTTTAATATATTCTCATAAATTTAGGCCTCGTACTATTCACACTACAAGGTCGATCAAAAATTTACAATTTTGTAACATTCTGAAAGTTCCGATTTCTAATTTCCTTTTTTTTTTTTTTTTTTTTTTTTTTACTTTTCTAATGGAATTGGAATACATGTTGAAGTATGATTTTCTGATCCGGTTGTAATTTATCTATGTATTCTAGAAAATTCCAATATTTTTCTAATAACTATATTTGTAATACCAATATTATTATGTGTCTTATTATAGGCGACTGAAAAAAAAAAATTAGATTTTCCAAAATTCTACTGATTTCAACTATGGAACAATTTTTTTCGCTTCAACTTCCGAAATTTTGCTTTTCGATTTCTGGATCATGATTGGAATTAGTTTCTCACTTTGAAAAAAAATTGTAATTTTTCTGAAGTGTTAAATTTGATCAAATTCGTCCAAGGGTCGACTCATAATTATCACTATTAAGTTCAATTGTTTAAATAGGAGGACCAGTAACATGTTCAGATTTCTACACCTAATTTATACAGTTCAATCATATATCCAGGACGAGCTCTGGAGTACCGTCAGCTTAACAAAGGTAACTTATACTATTATTGTATAATAATAAAAAAAAACACAATAATTATTCGGAATGGTATATGGCATTTGCAACGAAATTTATGGGATACAGACGATCGATTTTGTAGAACCTACACCTGATGAAATACACCATTTAGTTTTATACCATATATCTACACATAATAACACATGACATTGACTCATGTGTATGTGTACTTAGTGGATATTTGTGTAAATTTATGGTTTAAAATCATATGATGTATTTCACTAGGATCTTGTAAGACAATGTAAACAATGTTAAAAGAACGAATTTTACCCGACAAGAATTGACTATGGGGTAGATTCTAATCCATCGTGCTTGTCGGGTTAGCCCCGTAAATGACGGTTTATTCAACATATGAAAATCTAAGCATAATGGATTTTGTTATTATTAATTATTGGTGGGTTTTAGTTTTATTGGTTGTAATAACTATAAATTAGTCCATTTCGTGCAGAATGAATCAAATATAAGTTATAAAATGTATATAATACGCTAACTTGTTGAGTAAAATTTCAAAAAAAGTTTGTAATATTTGGACATAAATTGTCCACTTTGTTTATTAATATATAATT